TCATTATATCGTCCCTTCTGCTGTAATCTTATGGGAGTTTTTTTTGGGTTGGAATTTTTTGCTTCCCTGTTATTTTGTTCAAACTGCTGGAGCTTTGGTGTTTTTTCTTCTAGATCCAGTAATGTGCTTTTTGCGGGAAGGTGTTTGCAGATATGGGACGATGATGTTCCAGATTTACATCTTCAATGCATCCTTGGACGGTCTTTGGGCAACTAGGATTGCGTTATTCGGGCACTGTGACGGCCTCCAATCTAACTTTGGCAGGCAACCGATGTCTAATTTTGGCTTTATCGGCTTTACGGGTTTCTTCTATGATTTAGGCTTTGATGCCTTATGATGTAAATCATTTTCCTGAGTCCCTCTTATCTGCAAATTTTCTTTTCTTTTGGATGATAGAGTCGTATTTACTTGTAACTATTGGTGATTAATATATGTGCTTTGCCCCTAATTTTCCCAAAAAAAAAAAAAAATATTTAACTAGAATTTGGACAAGAGGATTTTAATATATAGGGCTATCAAAATCGGGTCACAGGTTGGGTTCGGGTCCAATCCGAAATTGATCCGACATTGTTCAACCTGACCTGAACCCGGCCCATTTTTTAAGACGGGTCGATTTTCCGAACCCGAACCCGACCCGCTTCTGGTTTGGGTCAACCTGAACCCGACCAGATTCGAATATATTTTATTAAATTTTTTTAATTCAATTTATTTAAATCTAAATCAAATTAAGGTAATATTTACTTCAATTAATTTAAAATAAATAAAAACTAACTTAATTTGAGCAATAATATTTATAATTTTTTGAAATATCATTTACATATTTCATAAAAATCCATTAAAACCCTCCTAAATTAATTAATTAAAAACGGATCAAACTAGGTTGATTTCAAGTTTCTGGATCAACCCGAACCCGAAATATTCAAGTTGGGTTTCCAGGTTGGGTCAAATATTGACAACCCTATATATATATATATATATGAATAAGTATTGTCACAAGAACTCTCTTCTTTTGTTCAATAAATTATAATTTATTTAACATAATTTTACTATTATTTTTTAAAATAATTTTTTTAGAAAAAGAATTTTAGCCAAATACTTTTCATACTAAAAAAACTATTTAATGACCTAAATGCCAAAAAGAATTTATTGGGCTTGACAAATTTAATAACTAAATTATGTTTACATGCATATAAACATATCAGTTGGCTTGATGGGTAACTCTAGTAGATTTTCTTGTTTTAGGTTAAAAAATTATGCCCTAATGCTCTCCCAATATAACACATTATCCTACGGGGCATCTCCAACCAAATGCTAAAGGATCTTTACACTCATCGCAAGCTCCAACCAAACGCCAGATTCAGTATCATTTTATGCGAGTTGAACAATGCAACATCAATATTGACATTGACTATTCACAAACATCATTTTTTTAGATGGAGAAAAAAATATAAAATGAAACTCAATTGAAAATAAATTAATTCATTTTATAGTGTAAAATGAGTTTCTAAAGTGGATATGACCTAAGATAAGAAAGACTCTTCAACCCTATCTCAGATGATGATGGTATCTACTCTTCATTTTCATTCAAATACATCATAGACTACTATATCTTCTGACAAGCAAAAGATTAAAAAAACATATATCTTGATTAGAGAACTGTTTTAATATACTCGGAAGAAATTCAAATTGAAATTACAATACACTATTTTGTGAAAAATATACAAAATAATTAGAGTACTGGTCATGATCCTAACATTAAAATTTCTACTAATGATAATCCCACCCCACCATATGATGAACTTTTATTTGGTCCGGTGAACGGACGTAGAGCTACGTTCAGCCGTCATTGAGATCACGCCACATAGCAGGCACAAAACCGCGGACCCGACCCAACGAATAATGGGTATGTCGCACATGCGTTTTTTAAATACATGGCAACCCGGTATTGCTATTTATTGCTCGGTATTGCTAGGTACTTGTCGATTTTACTCGAAAATAACAAAAAATATCATTATGTTAAAACAAATACCGAGCAATATCGAGTTTTTCTAAAAAAAACTCAGTATTGGTCTTCACATAACGGTATTTCTCATTATTGTCAAGCAATACCAAGCAATAACTTGGCAATAACAAGAAATACCGAACAAATACTGAGTAATATCTAGCAATACACGAACATAACATTCCCGAGTTCCAGTCTGGGTCAAGTCGTCGGGCCGCATGATAAAAAGTAAGAGCACGTGGCGCGATCTCAATGGTGACCGAACGTAGAGCTACGTCTAGTCACCGGACCTAATAATTGTTCCCAAATGATAGGATATTAAAAGATTGTTTATTTCGTTTCTACTGCCAAATGGTTGAGTTGAAAGATTCGAGAATATTCAGACGCTAAATAAGATTTTGATGTTTTAAAATTAAAACAAAGGTATCACTGTATCAGTATGTTGTGGACGATTTCCCATTAAATAAAAGCTATCAAAACAAATACTAATAACAAAGAATTCAAAGCTATTTCTATAAGAATTTGAAAAAAAAAAAAGAGATGAAAACTATCTTAAAACCATGAAGAGTGTAAGCATAACATACAAAAAAACAAGCACAGGCACTTTAGAAAAGTTAGTATTGAATTGTTTTACTTGAAAACAGAATCAAATGTTGCCCACTAAGCTGTTTTGAACACCATAAAGATAATACAAGATTTTTTACTTCATGAGGCTCAATAAAATGCTTGAAAAAAAATCTAAGGCAGGAACTAAAGCATGCCAATTGGCCTGTGAGGTAGAAAGAGTGGAAAAAACTAATTCTAAAACTATCATATATTACTATTTTTCAATTTTAATTCAAATTAAAGACTGGCTACTTGATTAAAAACAATTAACTATTACATTTGCTATAATATTAAATTTCTATTTTTATTCATTTATATTAAATATTGAATTTATTGACAAAACCTTCAAGCACTATAATCAGAAGGTCCCAAAACTAAAGCCTTTACAGTACAACTAGTAGATTAATTTCATTTCTATTATATTTTTTTTTAATTGACTAGCATACATGCAAACTGGCGTGCAACAAATCATGAAAACATGTAGAAGGGCAGCGTATGTTAATTACAATAAATAAAAGTAACATAACATTTACACCCCTCTGATGAGCTATAGTGACACTTTACAAAGACAAATGACTCTGTGAGAACTTAAGCTTTGTTTGGAACAGTTTCTTTGCTGCTTTTTAAAACAACTTTTTAATACAAAAATTTTTAATTCAAAAGAATTTTGTACTAGAAAACTACTTTAGAAAGCAGAAAGAAAACTATCCCAAACAAAACCTTAACCAAAACTCAAGACTTTGACAAGAACTTTACCACTAACAAGTCTTTCCACGCACATCAGAAACTTCGGTGATATTACCTTTTTGCTTTACTAATATAACATGGACATGAGAAAGCATTCTGGTATTAATATAATCGAATTATAATTCCTTGCTACATGGAAAAGTGCAATCCGTGTAATGAAGGTTTGAATAATTCAAATGAAATTTATCAAATATCTTCTTTGCCTATTACATTGAATTTAGGCTTCGTTTGGGACGGCTTTTTTATTGCTTTCTAAAACGGAGTTTTAGTACAAAAATGAAAAATTTTGTACTAAAACTCCGTTTTATAAAGCAGTAAAAAAGCCGTCCCAAACGAAGCCTTAATATGTTTGTGCGCGTTGTGTTGTTATGAGTTATGACTGAAGAGAAGCCATCATAAAGCAGTCAAGTCAACTAAAATTAAGGCTTAGTTTGGGACGGTTTTTTTACTGTTTCTTAAAGCAATTTTTTAGTATCAAAAATAAAAATTTTCTACTAGAAAGCTGCTTTTAAAAGCAGTAAGAAAGCCGCCCCAAACGAAGCCTAAATCAAGAAGCAAACTAATAAGCACGTACCTTTCAATATTGTAGCATGTTGGGACAAGTTCTTCAAGGCGCCTCTTTACTTGCAGACAACTGGGACATGTAGGTCATTTTATTTCAACACCAAGTCATATTAGGTGTTTTAAAACAAGAATAGATGACTGAAGGTCTGTCTTGTTCACAAAGTTATAGAATCGTGCCATGTTAATTTAAGAGAAGTTAAAACAAAACTTAATACAAAGAAATGCAACAAACAAAATGAAAATCCTTCGAAATTTTGACTTTACTGGCACTTAACGGTCTTTAAAGCTAGAGGCAAGCTATTACAGTAAAGGGATTGGCAATCAAATCTAATCAAAAGGGCTACTTTTAATGTGATCAAAAGGGCTACTTTTGGTAATATTCATAGGAAAAGTAATAATCATGAATACAAATGGCTAAAAGCAATGCAAGAAAAAAAAAACAGAGGTTTTGATCACATTAAATTGACAAAACATGATTAATCTGTCTGGAATGAATTTTTAAAAATAAAAAAGGGGGATCGGTTTTTAAAGATCTGCATAAGAACAGAAGCATATTCTAAGGAAAAAATTATAACATTCTCAATCACTAGGAAATATTAAAAAAGTAGCATCGAAAGTTAGTAGGTTATATGCACAAGCCCTGAGAAATCCATTTTAATAACAGAAGCATGGATCTAGCATAGTAGTCAGTTTATTAATTTAAAACTTACATCATATAGAGGAAACCATTCAGATGTAAGTGAACTGCATTATAACACAATTATTAACAACATTCATAGCTTAAACTGTGAGCATAAAATGAAAATAATTTCAATGAGCTTCATAGGAAAGAGATTAAAAGGCCATGAAAGATTTTTTAGATTGCTGATATACACATGTATAGATAGTGCAAGCACGATAAAGTAATTCTATCCACAGTAAGCAATTTTTGGAAAACACAAATATACAAGGCACCATCAAAACTGAAACGCAACTGGGTTGAAGAAACTTAATGCAAATACTTTACAAACTCCCGAAGTATAAAAACAATGACAGCAACAAAAAAAAAATTGCAATGAAAATGTTTTGGATAAAGCAAAAGTTAACAGAAAACATCAAGAGTACGATGGTAGATAAATATGCATAAGTTTGAAGAACAGTAAACAAAATGGTTTTGAATACATGAAGTTCTTTTAAAATATTGATGTTGGAATCAACCTGATGTGACCAAAACTCCTAGGTAAAAAAAAACATAAATTTTACATCGTTTTGAAAGATCATAGTTTTAAAATAGTTTTTAGTCAACATAGTTGAAAACTCAAGATTCATAGTAGCAGCAGTTTGAAAAGAAGCAATAAAGTGGGCATTTTCCACGAACAGGAACTCCAGAATCATCTTCTCAGAATTAAACTGATTACAGACGAAAAGGATCTGCAAAAATGAACATAAAAAAGCAACAGATAATTCAACTTTTAAAAAGCATAAAATCAAGATGAGAAACCCAGTAGACAACGTTCAAAAAATGCTATAACCTGTTTGATTTCCTTAGCAGGCAAGCCAAAATAGGAACTTTTATCAGAATGCAATGAGATACAAAACAGGATATAGATATAAATGAAGAATAATAGTAAAATCATGATTAGGTGGATAGAGAACATAGAAACACCTACCATGACCATTTTAGCTTAAAATTTATTGTTGTCGAGTTTAGCATACACATAATATATTGCTATGATAAAGTGCACTTCTAGATATTTCTTTCAGACAGATCATGTATTTTTCAAAAGTATTAATTTGAATACGAATATAAAGAATGGATATCACCGTAGCTCCCTATAAATTGGAAATTGGACCATGTGCGCATTGCTAGTTTGCTACTAGTATATGAAGTAGTGGTGGCTCCTAGTTGTTGAACCTATGCTGATTTTGATGAGAACAAGTACTCCGTGGGCATTTGGACTTACTGCCACCCACACACACACCCGCACGAACACCGCATGCACGCACGCACCCACACACGCACACACAAGCACGCACCACGCACGCCCATGTACGCACACACATCTGAAGTCATTGGCACAACTCTTCATCACAGAATCTCCTCTCCCTTCGGTAGGAATAGTCGATTTATTTCCTCTGGAACAAGCGCTTGCACCTCATCTTCTTCTGCTAATCCAACACTACATACATTCAATGCTTCATCACAAACACCATGCGCGTACATGCCTTGTCACCAATAATATCAGCTCCCCAAAAAAAGATGACACCTCCAACATTCACATATGCCGCCAATTCCAGAATACACAAACTTTCAACCAAATATTTTTAACACACCCACCCAACCGAGGCCACCTATAATTCTCATACCCCATAATGCAACCCCATAACAGCTACAACCCCTTTTCTCCTTCAAACTATCCTCTTCTGTAAGCCTTAAGCATAGTTGAATCCTTCATCCAGAGGCCTTACCTACTATCATGAAAAGTAAGGAAAAGTCAGTCGCCTCTAAGAATAGGCTCTAACACTTCTTGCATAATACCTTGGTAAAACCCATCTTCTCTGATCATTAGCACTTATGCTCCCAACGCATAATGGTCCATCAACTTTGACCTACCAACAACCACGCACTTAGCGCCTAACAGCATGTCACCAAAAAAATGACCACTCAGCACCTTATCACCCACGCACATTCATCGCCCAGCTCTTATTTTTCCCACATTTACCGCTCGCCACCTACTATCAATGCACACCCACCAACACTAAACTCACCATCCATGGACCCAACATCAACCCCTACTCAATTTGTCGGCTTCAAATCCATCAACTCCCAAATTACAGCTTCAGAGCACTCCTCACCATGAGTGAACTCGCTTGATACTTCTTAGACTTGTTAACTCCCCAATCAGCCACCTCACACTCAATTCAGATCTTGTCAACATCCCTTTCACTTTGTATCGCTCAAGTGCCACCTTAAGTTCCATTTAGCTGACGGATCCAAACACTTGGCTGATCTTCATCAACCTTTCTCATAGGTTGTACAACAACAATTCATAAGAAACATCCAGATGATGGGTAATAGAAATGCAGTGATAAATTTAGGCCAGCTAAATGCCTAATAAAAAAGCACGTCACCTTTTGGAGAATCATGTTAGATTGAATTTGTTAAATCAGATACAAGCCTAGTCTATCACTATTTTTACAGGCATTTATAGTCCTAGGGTTTTCACCATATTTTTTATTTTCATAACTCATAACAACCACATTTAGTTTGCGGTATTAGAAAGTAATGCAAGTTGAAATGGGAGAAGATTTCAAGAACATGCACTCTAATCATCTCCTCGCATTTCTTCTAGATTGAGCCCAAACCAAATAATTTGAATTCCATAAATTTTGGCCGGCTAGTCTTCTAAATTACAGAGTTAAGTTTCATTTTCATGGATTATGAAGAATGTGCAATTTTTACTCTTGAAGTATGCCTACCTTGCATGTATACACACATGCCCACACAGGTACTCAAGTAGGTTTACTCAGCTAGAAAGTATTTGTGCTTTACTTTATACAATAATGATATAATAATATGATTTCATGTTGTAACTTTATTTATATAATAAAATATATATTTGAGTATGTTGTTGGGTCAGACCCTGAATAGTTGGATAAAAGATCAAGAGATTGAGGACTTACTGCACTCTCTCGCATGTTTTCTATTTGCCAATTTCTAGAGTTGCCTTGTGATTTACTAAATTCACTATATTATATGTTCATGTGCAAACATCTTTTTTTTTATATAACATGTTAGACTCTACATAAAACATTTAATAGAAAAATCAACAAAAAAAAGTAAATTCTTATATTTTAGATACATACTTCTATGAAAGACGTTAAAAAATTAATTATTATTCAATGTAGCTTGGATACAAAACAACACTAAGACAGTAGGTCATGTATCCTAGGTTAAAAATTTACACTCAGTCCATAAACGCCTAGTTGCTGCACACTCCTAATACATAATCTCAATTCATATCTGCACATAGATCTAGGATTGCTTAGCATTTTTGCATTACGTTCAAACCCTTATGTGCATTTAGGTAGTCTGGCCTATAAAACACAGTTATAACTCATTTTTCTTCCCTGCTTATCAATCTATCTTACATTATACTGAGATTTAATATCATGGCTTTTAAAAATATGTCTAATAGAAGGCATCCTCTGTCCACAAGGTACAAGTAATGTAATCAGCCTTTGCACTACAAATACCCCGTGCTTAGGCATTTAGGAGTGAATTTACCTGGCACAAGGTCCTTTCTCCCAATCCATCTTCAACTCCTTTAATATCTCCCTCGAAGCTGATGTTGAGTAGACCCTTTTTATCACTGGCCAATCCCTTCTTTGGAGATTTTAAGAGTTACACATCAAAAACACCATGTTGACATCATCTAATTGCCTCTGGAATCTTATTTCTATACTCCATCATGAAGCCCTATATGAATGACTAACACCTGAAACCATATCCATTGATCAAGATTGATGCCTAGATCCCAATTATGCTAAACCACAAAGAGAAAGAGCATCATTAATCAAGTGTTTCGAAGTATCACGCATAAAATGTAATAAATAACGGAGGCACACCCATGAGAAATCAGCACCCCATAATTTTTAAACTCACTTTAACATCTCATATCACATCGATGAAATCTCTAAAAGATTTATACTAATATATCTTCCATCAAACCTCATGTTGGAGAAAAGTTCAATGTAATTTTTCATACTTCATGGTGGTATGTCTTAACATCTTCTACCCAAACTCACATGCTTTTTTCACAGCCCACATATGCAGTTAACAATGCACCAAGTTGAATCGCGTGACATGAGTATCAATTTCATATGAGTAAAAGGCTTAACAATCTTAAACAGTGTTTTAAAAAGCGGACCGGACTAGCCAATTCGACTAGTCCAACCGTGAATAAATCTTAAGGTCAATCTGATTCATCCTAAAAATTGTTTCTGCATCAAACCAAGCTAAACTGGCCAAAACCACCTGTTCAACCAGCGAACTGATCCCTGTTCCAATGAACCGACCAGTTCAATTTATGAATTATTTAAATAGTTAAATAAATAATTTAATACAATAAGAATAAAATATTAAATAATATTTGTAATTTAACAAATTAATTTATATTTAAAATGTTTAATTTTTTAATAAAGAAATTTCAACTAAGCATTTCACATGGCTCCACACTCCATACAAGTTATTACCTCATCCAAACTCAAAAATAAATATAAACATTACCGAAGTTCCCAAGTGATGTGGAACTCATTATTCTTACTTCCAATATTGTGAAAATCAGACCAAACATAGAACCGAAAAGAGAGGTTAAGGGTTCAATGGTTCATCGAATAGAGGTTAAATGAGATGATGTAATAAATATGAACATTATTTTAAAAATATTTAAATGATAGACTAATCACATAATAATATAATTTTTTATTAAAAAAATTGAATTCAAACGTTAATAATATCTTATATAATTTTATATTTAATTCAAATTTATCTTACATATAGATTTATGTATTTAATATAAATTATTATTAATTTATTTTATATATTATATATAATTTAGACCTATAAATTATATATTAAAGTCATATTATAAATTTCTATTTATAAATTATTAAGGTTGGATCATTTATTATTATTAAATAAATATTAATTAATTATTATAATACATAAATATTAAATTAAATAAAATTTTTATGATGCAAATAGCAGGATTTTAAAAATTGTATCAAACCGAGCGAACTGATCGGTTCAACCATGAACCGGTCTTGAGGCCGATCCGATTCACCGTCAAAATCGTTTCTATATCAAAACGGGCTAAACCAGCTAAAATCGCTGGTTCAACCAACGAACCGATCCTGGTTCCTTTGAACCGGCCAGTTCAATTTCAGAATCATTTAAAAAATTAAATAAATTAATTTAATATATTAAGAATAAAATATTGAATAATATTCATAATTTAACAAATTAATTTAAAATTAAAATGTTTAATTTTTAAAAAAGAAATACCAACTAAGCATTTCACATAGCTACACAATTCCATGTGAGTTCTTACCTCATCCAAATAATAAAGACAATATAAAGTATAAGCATTACCAAGAAAAAGTTTCATAAATGATGTGGGACTAAATAAGTTAAAGTTCTTACTTCTTAAATTTACAACATATCAACATACACTATATATTTTAAAACAAATTTTTTAAATAAACTTTTTATAATGTAAAAAGCATTTATTTTTAATTAGTGATGTTAAATAAATTATATACTTCATTTATTATTTATGTACTATAAAAATTAATTAATTATTTATTAATTAATAATAAATTAATAAACCTTAATAATTTATAAATGTAAATTTCTAATATGAATTTAACATATAATTTATAGGTGTAAATTATGCCTAAACATATAATATAAATTAATGATAATTTATATTAAATTTAAAATTTTGTATGTAAACTATTTTTTTGTTAAATTTGAATTAAAGATTAAACATCTTTAAATGTAAAATTCCACAAGGAATTTGTTATGCTTGAACCGGCCCAGGAGGGGCCGGCTGGACCCGGTCCGACCCGGGTCTACACCAGGCGGAGGCAGAACCAGGAAAGGGAGGAGGGCGGACAAGGTGGGCCCCATTTGGGGCTGATTTGATTATGTGGGAGAGAAAATTTAGAATGCAAAGGGCTGTTTAGGTATTTTGTAGGAATCATTTATAGTTAATTAGGGGGATTAGGAGGGAAAGGGGGTTATCTTGAATTTGAATGAGAAGTTTGAGATCTCTTGGTGTTCTTGGGCTCTAGGGTTCGCTAGAGATTTGTGGAGAGTTGTTCTTCCTCTCGAATCGAAGAACGTTGTATCTTTCTTTGTTTTGCTTTGATTGCTAGTGAAATACAAGTCTTTTTCTTGTGTTTTTCTCTCTAATTTCGCGGTTTTCTTGCTGATTTCTGCTGTGGACAGCAGTTTGCTGTTGTATTTTCACTGGTTTGGTTAGGAATACTTGAGAACTCAAGTACTTCCTATCAGAATTACTCGAGTTCGCAAGTAACCCTAAGGGGAAATACTTGAGTTCGCAAGCAAACCTAACAATAATCGGTAAAACAACGAGGAAAAACGTAGAAAATATGGTGGAAGAACAAACAAACGGTAGATAATCTTGTAGAAAGCAAAGCAAAACAAGGACGAAGCAAGATATAAGAGATCCTCAATTCGAGAGGAGGATCGTCTCTCCCAAATCTCTAGACAAGATAGTCTAGAACCTAAGCCGCCAAGAAACCCTAACAATCAATCAAAACATAATCCACCCTAATCCTCTCATGCTATTTAATACAAAAACTTTCCTAATTTAATTTCCCCTCAATCCCTAGCCGCCCCCTCCTTTTCAATTTTAAATTCAAGTGGACAAGTGAGGCCCACCCTTTGGGCGGACGAAACCATGGGAGGCGGACTGTTTCTGCCTCCTTTAGAATAACTGAGTCGGCCCTTGGGTATCACAAACACACTATATTTTCATTTTGTTTAATAAATGTAATCTCCTAAAATCTTTTGTTTGAAAAATGTAATTTCCTAAAAATATTAAAAAACTATAATTCCTCTTTCATGCAATTTTTGTGATAAAAATCAAACCCCTTAGGTATCATAAACACGCTATAGTTTCAGTTTCCCTACTTAACACAATTTTAAAAAAGAACTTTTTAGTTTAAAAAACTCTTTAAAAATCAAATTATTCAATATATCACCTAAATACACACCACTGGAAAAGAATGATTTTCCCATTGACCGTAAGTGAACATGCAAAATCCATCAAAATTTTGTCTTTCTGGCAAATTTTGTCCACTGAAAAAAAAAGTCATAAATACTTTCCAGCACTCAATATATTACCGACATATTTTTTATCAAAAATCATGTAAGCCAAACCCAACCGTCTTTCAAAAACCATTTGCTAAAATTTTTGGCAAAAAAATCACTAAAAAATCATCCTCAATTTCCAGCAAATTTTCCCATTGGTGGATTCCATCATTAATTTTGTGTCTTTCCATAGTGACGCGGCCAAAAGAAACTAATGATTTGGAAAGATATCTTAAAGCCTTTGGTTGCATAAACTCCATCTTAGAAGCTTTTGATAGCCTTCTTATGCGTCGTTTGAAGAGAACTGTGATTGGTGCACTTGAACTTCAAAAGCTCATATATTTGGGAGTAAAAGTTTGATTGCTTTTGTGCTTATCCATTATTATTACTACTAAGCAATTTTCTTTACTTAATCTTAAGCAAGCATTTGGATATTTTATTTGGATAAGGGATGCATGTGTTGATGCAAGCTTGGATGATAAGTTTTTCCATTCATGTTCTCTATCCTGAAGTTTTATTTCAGGTGATGGTATTTAGGTGTTTGTGAAAATGTCCAAGAATGGCCTATAGCATTTAGGTGGTAGCTATTAGTTATCAACCAGTTGATAGAGAGAAGCCAAGAACCAATATCATTGTGGTAAATAATAGAATTATATACACTATATGCAAAGCCTTCAAGACCCCTAAGGAAAGCAATCTGCCCTCATCTCCACTTCGCATTACCACTGATGCTTTGTTCAGCTCATACATTCTAACCCCTAAGGAAAGCAATCTGCCCTCATCTCCACTTCGCATTACCACTGATGCTTTATTCAGCTTATACAGTTTACCCCTAAGAAAGCCATCTGCCCTCCTTATCTCCACTTCGTATTACCACTGATGCTTTATTCAGCTTATATGACCTGGTCAATTCAAATAAGCCGATTAAAATGAAATTTTGAAAGAAATCTATCTTAATTCAAGTGTATGCTTTAGTAGAAATTACAATTAGAAAAACTAGGATAAAATGTGTATTGTTTCCATGATGAAGGGCTGACAGCCAATTTTCTGTCGGAGTTGCTTCTACCTCTAAAAATCTCGGAACTTTCTAAAATTTTACTTCACCTTGAACAACGGTTAAAATGGAAAATAAGAGGCCAACTAAAAGACCACTACAATATATTTCAATTTGTTTAACTTATAAATAATATCTCAACCATACAGACTAAATAGAATACCATATTCTATTAGAATTACCTTTCCCTACTTTACCTCAAACAAAGGCAAGCCGTCAGATTCATTCGTCATACTTGATACAATGTTCAAAATCCCGTATTTCAGTGGCCTACTGCAAAAAAAAAAATCTAAATCCAGTTATTTGACAGTAGAGATGCATAGATTCAGATTCAAATGCTCTTATTTTTCCCCCGGAACATTTTTTAGCTAACAGAAATCCATATTCATAGGAGCTAGATTCAAGAAACCACCATAAGCTAAGCAAGTTTACCAGCAGGAATCTTCCACATCAATGGCACATGCCAACCTAAAGGTCTTTAACATATACATGGTTTTCATTGCATGTAGTTTTTTAAGAGGCATAAAATGACAAACAATCTGAACCGGCTTTTGAGCTCCTTACGATTTATCAGTTTATTAAATTGCCCTAAAGTATGGTTGAAAGGACTCTTTACAATAACAACATCAAGCCTTTGTCCCACTATGTGAGGTTGGCTACATGAATCCTTTTTCGCCATTGGTTGAAAGGACTCTTTAGCTTAAGAAAAATACAGCAAGAGCATATGAGAAGCATTTAGCTGGAAAAAGAACTGCCATTAGGCATAGTTTTAGAAAAGAAAAACATTCTGAACAATTGCTTAGCAAATTCCTTTCTTCGGATGGACAACTAAAAACGTCCTAGAAAAGTCCTTTTATTTTTACATAGTAATTAGTCATGCCTAGCAAGAACTTCCTAGATATTTAAAAGCACTAACAACAGGAAGTTGCTAACAAAAGCATTTCTATAACACTGCAGTTCATTTAACTTAACTTTGAATGGAAAAAGCATAAAATTTAGCTCAACAACAGCTATTTGGGCTGAGCCAGATCTTATATAGTCTAACCCCTAAGGAAAGCCATCTGCCCTTTGAGTTGGGAGGGAATTATGGGAGCCTAAGACTAACTATGGGGTGATTTCAGGTTATGTTTGGAGTTTACTGAAATTAAAATTTCTTAGGTTATTTGGGCTCTATCCGAAAGCTAGGGATTTGGGAGAGTCAGATCTTCCTCTCGAATTGAAGATCCAACTATATATTGATATTTTTTTTCATAAATCTTGTAATAAAAATAGAATTGGTATATTTTTCTTCCTAATTTCTTATTGTTGTTCGCTGATTTCAAGGAAAAGTGCATCAACTTCCTATCAAATTTGTATCATAGCCTAGAACTGGGTACCTATGGCGGGAAGAAATGTAGAAGTGTTGAAAAGAGAGATCGGACAATTAAAATCAGATTTTGCAGAAAAGACTTCAGGTTTCGAAAATATATTTTCAGCCATCCATGAGAAGACCGATGAGAAATTTTCCATCATGGAAGAGATGATAAAGAAGCTTCTTGAGGGCCAAACCAAACCGACAACATCGGAGGTGATATCATCGTTGACTGGACAAGAAAATTGGAGAAACTCTAATATAGGGATAATGAGGGAGAATCATGAGGTGATTTTTTGGGGAAGAGGAGATGCCATCTTCGGAATCACTTCCAAGGAGTGGAAATGGAGTAAGATTTTTTGTAGAACTACCGACTTTAGAAGAAAAAGAAGATGGAAAGAAGATAGAAGCATCATACATGGTTTAGCCACTCTTACAGGAATATCGAGAAGTGTTCCAGGCTTCCAGCCAGTTCATTGGTTGCTTCCTTCGCGGGAACACAAGCATGCTATCTTTTGGAAGGATGAATTCTCATATATTTGTACCATTCTCCCCAACTCCAGGAGGATGAGATGGAGAGATTGATCAAGGAGATGCTGGAGGAGGTAGGAATCACTCGATCTAGCGACAATTCATTTTTCAATCTAGTGCTATTAGTATTAGTTCAGTGCTTCAAAATAGTTTTTTTCATTCCACCTTGAGGAGAAGGGGTAATTTGGGAGGGGATTATTGATAGATCGGCCAATTTGATTGGGAGGGAATTAGGAAGTTTCTTAATTAAGAGGGAACTATTTAGGAAGGTTCGTAATCAAAGGGGAATTGTTTAGGAAAATTTTTAATTACATTGGGAGAAAATTATTTAGGGTAAGAGATCTAATTTGAATTCAAAATCTAAGAGGGAATTATTTAGGGAAAAGAAGGAAGAATTAAGGGGAATTAATTAGGAAAGTTTTAATTACAATTGGTAGGGAATTAATTATGGAAATAAATCTAATTTGAATTCAAATCTGAGAGACATTTATATAGGGAATGGGGGTTGATTTGGGAGGGAATTATGGGAGCCTATTTAAGGCTAACTATGGGGTGATTTTATATTATGTTTGGAGTTGGATAAAATTAGAATTTCTTTGGCTATTTGGGATCTAGTCGGAAGCTAGAGATTTGGGGGAGTCAGTTCTTCCTCTTGAATGAAGATCCAACTGTATCTTGCTATTTTTTTTCATATATCTTGTAATAAAAATATTTTTGGTGTATTTTTCTTCCTAATTTCTTAACGTCGTTCGCTGATTTAGAGCAAAAGTGCATCAACTTCCTATCAAATATCTTTCCAAGTATGATACTCACTATGCTATCTTACATAGGATACTAATATTGTTGTCTCATTGTTTTTAATAGCATTGTAGAAAAGTAATTGATGGAAAATATCCACACATAAAATGGACTCCCCGTGTCGCTTATTTTTTGGATTTAATGATGGAAGATATTATTAAATTGAAAGACTAAGATGATGTTTTGAGAAAGCAATGGTTATACACTATTTCATGTATTTAATACCTCATTTGATTGGCTTAATGAGAAGATGTGCAAAACAACAATCATTTGTTATGCCTACTATGACACATTTTGACGTGGCTTTCTTGACCTTACAAAATTTCCATTAACAAGAATTGAATTTAAAAAAAATGTTTACTTAGGAGGTTTTTTTTGGGTCTTTATGCAAAAAAAGCAAAGACAAAGCAATCTCTAGAAACGATCTTACAGCAATCATTCTAGAATATTATTGTGTATGCCCAAAAAATAGGTGGCCCTTTGTGGAAGGTCCTTATATTGATTGATGGAGAAAGAAACCCCCGATGGATTATATATATGATGCAATGACCTAGAATATTATTGTGTATGCCCAAAAAATAGGTGGCCCTTTGTGGAAGGTCCTTATATTGATTGATGGAGAAAGAAACCCCCGATGGATTATATATATGATGCAATGAATTGGAGCAAAGAAGCAACTGTTGCACAATAATGAATAGGAACGAGTTTTTGCAAATATGGGAAGTGCACTCCATCGACCTTTATATGCAGTAGCATGCTTTTTAAATCATGAATATCTTTTTCAATAACACTGGTATTGTGAAAGAGAAGGAAATAACTAATTAATATATTTGTGTATTGGAAGATTAGATAAGAATATCAATGAAGAAGACAATCAATAATGAATAAACTGTATAAATAAGAAGAATGGCTATTTGATATTCCTCCCATTTGCAAGACAAATGAACACTCGGCTACCAGGTATCAATTTTTGACTTAAATTATAATTAACACTAAGTATTATTTTGATATTTGAATGATAAAAAAAATAATATTTCATTACATCAAACTAATTGGTGGTTGGCATATAGCCAAGGAGCTCCGCACTCACAAAGTTTTACGACCAAAATGTAATTCATTTAAATGTGAATGCAATTGGAGTACATTTGAATATGCAAGTAAAAATAGTGTATGCATTGGTTTTTTCATGAATGTTTACAATGTAGAAAGTGTAATGATATTTCAATTATAGCTTCATAGCAAAAGAAGTATAATGGATCGTGGTCACCTCAAAGATTTAGTTTATTTAACATATAATAAGACATTGATTCGTAGATAAAACCATCATGACATGATCGACCTTATTTCTTTGATTGACATAAATGATCCAAATAAGTAGCTAACAAGAAAAATGGATAATGAGTCAAATGAAGAAAAGGAATTGATTGTTGACAATGAAATTTGACATGGAGTATTATTGCAAAAGCCACATATGTTTATGACAAAAAGCCACAATATTAAAAAGAGTGATATAGATGCAATGAAAAAAAATATTCATCTAGCCTTGACAATGTTGCTATTGAAAGTAAAAATGATGAGAGTGATGAAGAAGATTATGAAATATGAGACAATGCTGATGTAAAAAACGAGGCTTTTTTTTTGTGATGATGATGAAGATTCCTTGAATACTAGATTAGTTTCTTGCAAAATCAATAGGTTTGAAAAAATGATTATACTATTTTGAGTATTGATGGAGTGAGGCGTTCATTGCTTGAACGTAAGCATCACTTTGATTGTTTTTTTATTATCAAGATGATTTATCTTTTAATTTATTGATATTTCATATAAAAACATATTTTATATTGAGTGCTCCAATTTATCTATGTGATATGGCTCCATAGTCAAATTTGCACTATAATGCACAATTCACTATTGACAAGTTGAGGTGTCAATATTTGATTCGACCCAAAAAGTTTTGGGTTTAGGTCAAACCATTTACTATACAAGTCAGGTTCAGGTTAACACAAAAACCTGAAATCAACACGAATCCCCCTGGATACAACGCACGTAGTAGTCCTTAACTCATGCGCTGCGCCCCCAATGTTCCCATGATCGTGCCCACTACCGCGCCCGCCCCGTGCCCACTAGCAAGCACCCTCGAGCCCGCACCCTCGCTTTCCCACATGTCGCGCGCACTCTCATCTACACGAACTTGCACGTGCACCAATGTGCGCCTGGCTGCCCTGCGTTTCAACATGTTGAGTTCTAGTCCAGGAATCAAACCAGCTTTGCAAATTGGGCCTTGTTAGAGTCTGGGGGTTAAGGCGGGTCAATTTCGAATTGGACCCGAACCCGACCCGAAATCCCATTTTGACATCCCTATAATAAGTATCATAATTATTTGTAGCAAGAAAGGTATTTATATTTTCTTTTGAGGGAATAATATTGTTTGCTAGGAGGTTTAAACTTTTAAGTATATTTTTTTAAGAATGTAACCTTCATATAATTTAGTGCTTGTTTCCAATAATAACACTTAGCCTAATTTGATTAACTAATGTTATATGCTATTATATGTAATTAACTTTCGGATAGAACAAATTTTATCAAACTTTCGCTAAATGCATGATTAATAAATGTGGCGATAAATGAAATTTAAATTGGTTAATGGCTCTGCAATTTGTGCTTTCAAGCAAATAGACCCTTCTATGCTTTGCTCAGTGAGATGATTTATAACAAGTCAAGCTAGAGAAAAATTGTTTAAACTTGAAATTGATCAGCTTAGTGAGAGGATTTGTAACTAGTCAAGCCAAAGCAAATTTGGTTCAACTTGAAACTGAATCAATTTCATCCATCTAAACTCGAAAGAATTTGATTGAGTTCACTCAAAATTGAATTCAAGTTGATTTCAAATTGTTTCATGTAGATACACACAATAAGATGCATGTATTATATATTTAGAGGTATACTCATTTTGAGTGAATTTTAACTATATTTTAGTTAGTATCAAATTTAAGTTTGTAGCTGACATCTAAAACTCATAAATCAGGTAACCTAGATTTGAAGGCAAGTTATGAGCGGTTTCAAGTGAAATTTGGATCAATTTCTAGTTACATTTTTTTATAAGCCCTACATTAACCATTGATTTTAAGAACTCCAACCATATTTTTCATGACATGGACCTCACAGTATAAAATGCAATATTTCAAAATTAACAATCATGGGCTGCTACAAGATGGCCTACAAACATGCATATACAAACCATTTGGCACAAAAAAGTGGACTCAACAAAGTTTAAAAGGGGGACAGGTACAAGAGAATCAACAAAGTAGCTGGCAAGTAGAAGCTTCTGATAAATGGTAACCTTTAACAAACTATCTAGAGGCATGTACATAACAAAAAATCTAAGAAAAAAAAATGTACAAATGATATCAATCAATAAAAGTGGCCTACATAATACAACCACAAAACTATCCAGATATGCTGATGATTAGACTTAGATTATCAATGCCAAGACTTCAGTTTATTTTAGGCGGTCCTCAAAAATGTGTGCGCACAAAACTAGTGTTTCTCAAGTTTAGTGATTTTTGCTAATAGTAAGATGGCAAGCCCGTGTATGACACAAATGAGTGTTTATCAGGACTCCATGGACTGCAAAAAAAAAAATGCTTTGAGTGATGCCAACTCTCGGTTCTTACCTACTGACCCGTAGAAGAACCTAAACCTCCCGTATTACTAAAGCCTTGTGGGTTCCATGCACCCCCTTGTCCCATTGCTGAATTGCCATAGCTTCCATGGATCCGCAATGATGCTCCATAGCCACCAACCACACCTGGTTTCACATAACCTCCAGCTCCTCTTATTTGATTCCCAAACGCTGGATTTACTGCAAGCCCTGCATTTTTCACGGTTAGCCCTGTATAACAATGGCTACGCAACATGTCAGATGGGCCAAATCCCGCCCCTTGTGTTGCACGGAATGCACTCAAATACTTACCTAATCCAGGATTATATCCCGTTGCAGCAGTGGCATTAGCTTGGCCTGCCTGGTTGAAACGTATGCTGACAGCAGGGGGAGCTATAAGGTGTCCTGGGCCAGTAACCGAAGAAGGCATGCCGCCCATTGATACTGATGTCTCAATCCTTCCTATTTGAGCCCCATGAGCTCCAAATCCACTCTTTCCTTGTTGCATGCCTGCATATTGCCCAGCGCCTTGTAGAAGATAAGCCCCTTGCTTGTTAAGCTTAGGGCCATCAATCGCCCTCTGACAGTGCAATATATTACCTTCGAAGTTCTTATGTGGTTCCTCCAATGCATTCTTTGCACTCTCAGCGTTCTTATAAACAAAGAGGCAAAATCCCCTAGGTTTCCCGGTAGCTTTATCCAGACCTAATGGCCCTTCCTCTATCTCCCCAAACTTTGAAAAGAACTGCAGAACCTTGTTCGGGTCAAGATCAGCTCCCACATTGCTGACATAGATCTTCCGCTGAGTGTACTCAGATGATGGAACGAAACTAGGCGGGTTATAAACAAAAGCGGTGGCTTGAAGAGAAGCAGGGGGAGGGCCCTCCGATGCGAGCTGACAGGCAGTCATCTTATTACCGATTTTCTTTTGAGGCTCCTTTAATGCTCGGCGAGCGCCACTCCGATGCTTGAAGAGGATGAAGCCATAACCCTTGGACCTGCCGGTGATTTTGTCGACGATAGCTTTGCAATCCTCGATCTCTCCAAACTGGCGAAAAGCGTCGACGAGGGTTTCTGCGGTGGCGTTCCAACCGAGGCCGTGAACAAAGACCTTTCGGTGAGCGGGGTCAGCGTCTGCTATCTGTCTGATTGAAGCCCAAATATCCGGATGCTTCAAGGCGGCATCGCGGAGGATATCAACCACCTGATCCTTGCTGAAAGGTTCAAGTAGCTTCTGCAAGAACGCCGGGTCATTATCCTCAACGTCTTCTTCGCCGTCAGCGTAAGAGACCTCGCCGACGCCGGAAGTATTCAGGATGGGATCTTCGGTTTCTACGGCTTGAGGCTTGGGATCTTCCTCGATAAGTGACACTTCGTTGATAGGTTCTGCGATCTCCGGCGCCCACGATCCTTCGGTTGAAGGTTCAATTGGAAAGGGAGTAGCGGATTCTTGGTTGAATGATGATTCCTCGTGGACAGAGACGTTTTCTTCAGATGCGCCGGAGCCGGCGGGGGAAGGTGTACCCTCAACCTTTCGTTTCTTTCCCATGCCTGCGAACTGCCAGTGGATTAGGGTTTGACAATTGTACTACCGCAAGCACCCAACGTGATATATATAGAGAGAGAGAGAGATTTTAGTCCAATTAGAATTTTAATGACTTCTTTTTTAATTAGTAATATTCTGATTAATTAATTAATTACACATTAAATATTTTTTTAATAAATTAAGTAATTTTTAGATTCATCTTAATTAAAATTTGATGATGTGATGCCCTTTAAAATTATCATTTATAATAAAATAAAAATAATAAATTATTTAAAATATGCTAAATTATAACTTCAATTATTTTAAATTTAAACATTAAAATTTTGGAATTCCTATATATTGATATATTTAAAAGTTAAATATTTATATTTACTTGAATAGCACTCTAAGATTTTAGTTATATCCAAATATAAACATAAAAATGTGTATTTCATTTTTAATGGGTTAATATTAGTAGTATTTTTATATGATTTCGATATTAGGATATTATATAAGTAATATAAGGATTTATGTGTTATATACAAAAATATATAAGAATTAATTGTTATGCTAATAAATTCCACTTCAAATACATAATAGATGATTAAAAATATATGAAGATTAATTTGTCACATATTAAAATCTCACGGGGATAGAGAGTGAGTTTAAAATTATTGTTTTACACGGACAGAAAAAATAATAAAAAAATTTATATGAAAATCATATAATAGGAAATTTTATGAGGCATGGTGCAGTTGAAATAATTTAGGGGGATTTACATGCATATCACTTTATTTCATGTTATTTACATATCTAACACCTATAACTTTAATATTACATTTTTGTCGTTCGTATACAATTTTAATATCAAATATATCACTTATATATTTCATTCTTATCACTCATACAACTCTATAAACTTTAATATTTTATTTCATGCACTCATATTTGTTCTGTGGGTGGTAGGCATGCAATATTAAAAATGTATGTGTTATATATGTAAATAATATGAAATAAAGTTGTATGCATATAAATCCCCCAATAATTTATTATGCATCTAAGTCATAGAAAGTTATACTCTCCTACGATTAGATAACAAGGGATTACAAAGTTGTGAATACTTATTTGGTCTCATGTAATTATAGTAGAGATTATGTGAGACGCAGTTAATGGGTGTTAAGGGCAATCATATAATGTTAACTAGGTGATAACATTCAAATGATATCAATTGGGTGATGACGGTCGAACAATAGTGATCAAATGATAATAATTTAATAATAATTGTCGGATGATGGAGACGGGATGATGATAGTTACGTAATTGTGGTTAAGTGGTTGTATATGTTCAAAGATGAATATAAAATGATGAATGAATTAAGATGGTTGTTGGTGATCATCAGTATTAGTCATTTGTGATTATCAACGCAATGGCGACAGGCCGATTGCTGCCAAACAAAAACGTATGTCGTTGGTTATTGTTATCGTTAAATATTATGCAAAACTCTGGAATTATTCAAATCTTCAAAATGGCCCCAAACTAAAGTATATGTTTGATTCATGTGAATAATGGGATATATTTATTATATTATGGGGAGTGACATTTTAATAAATCTAGATAAAATTATATAACACTACATCAAACTATTCATTATAAATTTTGTGACCATACATGATTTTTTTAGCATTTAAGTATCTTAATAACCTTATAATCAAATAATATTTAGCTCATTTGATTTATCTAGTCGAGACACTCAGCTTGATTATAAGCATGTAAGATTTAGATATTATTTCATCCTTCAATTAATATCATAATATTTTAAATTATATTTTAAGTATTCGATCTAGAGTCATTTGGACATGAACCAAATCAGTTTTTATATTGTTGGTTTCATCTCATCAAGATGCTCAGTTTGATAATAAGTTTGTTGAATTTAACACTCAAATGGTCCTGGATTTATTTTTAGAAGTTCCTAATGCATATATTGCATCCAAATTCATTTTGATCAAGTGAATTTTTTTGATACAGACGCATTGTTCACTCATGTTATTTCTAACATTAAAGCTTGTATGGTATGAAACTATATATTTAGCCTTTAGAATAATTTATGATGTAAAATTATAAATAAAAGAAATTAATATGTGCAATTACTTTCTAGATGTCAATGTGAACCTCTCTCGCTAAGGCCATGGATTAAGTAAATTCTCCTAAACTATAATTTCATAGTGAAGTAAATTTGTTAAAAAGAGCTTCCATGTTGTCTCACAAAGGTTGTGCATAATTTCTCATAAAAGGCTTCGACAATCCTCTTTATAGAGGCTTGATAATGTAATTGATAGATGTTGTGCATGCAGGGGCGGATCCAGCTTTTTTTTTTTAGGGTGGGAAAAAAAAATTTTTTTTGTAGGGGATGGGCAAAGATGCTTAGTATTGATATAAGTAGGGCAAAAAAAATTTTTGAGAGGGGGCAAAATGCCCAAAATACTCAAAATATTTCAAAATTTCCTCTCTAAATATAAAAAAAAAAAATTTGAGGGTGGGCATTTGCCCACCCTAAGCATGTGGTGGATCCACCCATGTGTGCATGTATCCTTTTTGCAGGTCATAGTGCTTATATATCAATAGTATCTAACTACCCTGCATAAATATAATTATGAGTAGTGTACATAAAATTTGGCTTCATCCAAGAGCGATTATTATACCAATTAACATTCTTGATGTGGCGATGTAAATATGTCAACAAAGATAGCTTCTCATAATAATACTAGTAATTTTTGCAACATCACTTTATCTTTTATTTTTTAATGTTCTTGTCTTGCTTGTTCATTTGCCTCATCTCACAAATCAGTCATTTTTTATGGATGATCGTATTCATCTCTATATTTCTCCCAAAAACTTACGTCACAAAATCATGTCCTTTTTTATGAGAATTTAATTTTTCTTTTTAAAACGTCATATTGCAATGATGATATTTCTATCTTCAATTAATTTGTGCAATCATACCTATTCTCAAAAAAGTTTAATTTTTTTTTTAATGTAGAAGACATAACGAACTTCATTCACGTAAAAATGATGTTGTTTGAAATGATAAAAAAATTCTTAAACGTCAACTTCATTACAAATTGTCGAAAACATTTTTGTAAGTTAGAAAGATGACATGCATCCACAATTTTTTTGCTAATATATCATCAACATACACTTTTATGGTGCACCTGATAAAATATTTGAAGAACTTGTAAATTTTATTTAAATCTATAAAATTTACACATATTCTTCAAGCTTCCCTAGATTTTTAATCATTAATCACCAACCATACGAGATAATAACCTTCTTAGATAAGCTCGGCATTTAAAAATTTATCAACTTCTTACTCGATGGCTTGCAGTTTTGTGCAAATTTTATGTTATGCTTAATGTTGCTTGAATATCGAATATATTTGGATGGAGTGTGTGATTATTTTAGGATCAATCCGATGCATTTCTGTTATACTCCAATCAAAGTTGACATAATTTTATTGTAATATTGTATCTCCTTATCATATAAAAAAGATATGGTTCGTACATTTAATGAATGATGCGCATTTAATAGCGGAATGTGAATCAATTCATTTATAAGTGAGGCTCTCTAGTTCATATCATCGTCAAAGAATATTAACATTTTCAAGGCTCGATGGTCATAACTCAGCTTGTTAGATATGATAAAATTGTGCAACTTGTTGATTCCCATGAACTTCACCAACCCTAATTAGAGTTATAAAATGTCTTCAAGTGAGGCATAAAAGAAATGACATCAAACATTGATTGTAGGAGTCTCCCATATATGTTATTATAAGTTGACTATAACTTAAGCACCATGAATTGAATAAAATAATTTACTTGTTGAGGAAATTCTCTACAATATTTTTTTATTCTTCATTTTTGTTGTAACATATCATTTATTTAAATTTAGGGGCTTTACCCACACATCACAATTTTGTTATTAATTTTATATTTATTCATATAATATTAGTGTTTAAATTACACAAAAATATATGTATGAACATTTGTATTTTTAATATTTGCAATATTTTTTTGATGTCATTAAAAAAATTGAGTGTTATATAAATAAATTAAAAATTATTGGTGTCACATAAGTAAATATATGAAAAAATTGTGGTCTCCATGAAAATCCTTTTTACATTTTGATTAATTATTCATGTATTACTCCCATATAAAAAAAATTAAAAATTATATACATATTAGATATTTACATATCTAAAATTGAAATTTTTATTCTTCCTAATATAATATCATTAAATTTAAATTAAATCACAATATCTTTAATAATTATTTTATTAAAATAAAATATGTATTTTCATGTATATATTTTAATGTGACTTAGTTATTAAGATATTATATAAGTAAATATAAAATTTAAATATTAGATATATAAAAAGGGATTTACATCTATACCAAATTTATAAGTTCTTAAATACACATATGTAAATAAATAAATATTTAGTGATATTTATGTAAAACCCCAATAATTTAAAGGAAAAGGGACTTTTAAATACGAAAAAACGAGGGAGCGAAATCCAAGACGCGCGCCTTTTTTTTAGGCTTCGTTGGTGACGGTTTTATTGCTGCTTGGCTGCCGGGCTTTTGTTTACTTGTCTCTCCAGCCATGGATTATGGTCTTCCTGCTCCCGAGAGCAGGAGAGCGACGGAAGAGCTATCGTAAAGCCAAAGACGAAACAATCGTAAAGCCAAAAGAAGAAAATCGCAGGTCATGAAAGGCTTAATCGAGACCGCGGTTTTCCGATTATCATTTCAAAATTGTATTTCGGTTTCCATCGTAGGTAGATTCTTCCAACTCGTTGGTTTTTTTGGGTCCTGCGGTTGAGATTATTTGCGGATGGCATTCTCATTTTGATTGGTAGGGCTGTGGGAGGGTTTACGGTGCCCTTAAATCTTAATACAACATATATAGCAACAACTGAGCTTTCGTGCATTTGAGTTGGCGGAATTGCACTGAAGAGAAATTAAAAACAGAAACAATGGTGGGATGTATATAATTGAAGGTAAAAAGAGGCGGTTAATGTTGATTGTAGGGCTTAGGGTTTGTTGCTGTGTTTGATTAGCTTAAGAAGATATTAATTAATAATTCAGACGCTATCTTATATAATTATGATTAAAAAAATCTAATTAAGGTTAATGCAGACCAAGCACACATAATATAATCTCACAATCATATAAATCCTTAAATTATATAAAAAAATAGCAAAACACTTAGCAGGATTTAACTTGTTTTAACAACTTATGCCAGCCATTTTCAAGTATTCAACCCACATATGATTTATTAAATCCGAATTTATTGTTTCCTTAACTTCAAGCTTGACAAATTGTTGCACAGGAGTTCAGAAAATGATAAAAGAGATGTTGTCAACAAGTTGAACTGAAAGATTCCTCCTTAATTTCACCAGTCTTAAAACTGAAGTATCAGTTTGAAGCTGAGTATTATATAGAAGAACATATAAAGAAAGGATAAGGGTATTGTATTTATACTTTTCTCTATTTCAAATATTGGAAGTCACCGGCATCATATATATAAGTAGTTTGTTACATAGTTGATAATTTGTTGGATACTTGTGGTTGAGGTTGAGTGAGAGATTTTAGGTGATCGTTGAGATTATTTTGGTGGTAGTGATAGTGAAATATTACATGCGTATAATGTTATCATTGCCCCTGAAAATGAAGTTTCCTTTTGGGACTGTGATGCAGAGCATGTTTGTTAAAATGCTCCTTAGTCATATGTGATTTAGTTTGTTACAAGTTTGTTATAGGTTTCTAGAACTTTTTTGATTTCTTTAGGTTTCTCTTGCTAGCTTATAAATATAATAGTTGTAAGAAGGAAGTATGAATGAATATTTTTAGAATTTATAACAATTTTGACTGTTTTTGGTCTCCTAGAGCTGTTTAACTCTTTTTCATCTTGTTTCTTCATGTTACTCCTCACATTAGATTGTCAACTTGTTGCGTAAATGATGAAATTGAGTGTTAGAAGGAACTTTTGTGAAGATGCCGACGAGTTAGTCTTGAGATGCAACATGATGTATGATAGTATATTTTGTTTTTATATAGTCAAGGATGATGTGATAATCTATTTTTGTGTTTGATGTTGAATTCTTGAAGAAGTCGACATAGCCATATTACATTAGTGGTTGCGGTATCTAGGCCTCAATATTCAACCTCTGTCGAGGATCTCATGACAACGCATTATTTCTAAATGCACCAAGAAATTAGAGTATTGCCCAAGAAATTTGCAGTTGAGGGGATTGCCTGCCCAATCATAATTTGAATATGCTTGGTGTTGTAGATTGCCACAATAAATAGGAAGTTCAACAATAATGTATGTTTGATATATGTGATGATCTATTGTGGATGAAATTTGAAGAGCACGAGTTGTTTAATTTTCTAGATTCATCTCCTCTGCAAAGTAATGAATTATTGTCTATGTTGATTAGTTGAATATTAGTATGGATAGTGCGGTCTCAAAGGTTTAGGAAGGAGGAAGTCCAATTAAAATATGAAGCATGGTGTCTTTGGGATTAAGAGGCGAGCCGACTGTAACGATAGCCTCCACTTTGAGTTCGGAGAGATATTTGGTCATAGATTGATCCCCATAGAGATGTGATGAGGTTTATTTTTGAGGTGAATGATGCAATATTTATTGGTGGACTGCAGTCTTCTGTCAATTGTAGTTCACATATAGGTACATGAATAAAGGTTGAGAGCATAGGGTAGAGGGGGTGCTGTTATGGTGGAGTTTCGAGCCAGATGAGGTTTTTCCCTAAGAACAACCATGTATTGTAGCGGGGATTATGGGTTACAGTGCCATCATCACAAATAATTCATTTGTTGGGCTTGGTGCTGAACCATCGAGATATCCTTCATGATCATTTAGGTGATAAATTTTAAGTACTTGATTCTCTATTGTGAGATCAGTGTTGATGATGATTTTAAAATTCAACATTAGAAATTTCAAGCGGAAAGGGATAAAAATACTTCCCATTGTGGATGAAGCATTGTAATTACTACTTGAGTTTGTTGTCGACTGCTCCATGAATGCTGGACTGAAGGAGGATGTAGAGACCAGAGATTTAATGCATCATTAGGCTGACGCTCTAGCATGAAGAATCAGTTTGAAGCAGAGTATTATAGAGAACAACCAAAAATAAAATAAAGGAGAAGGCTGGTTTTATCTATTACAATTAGTAGAAGCCATGGGGGATACATGTAATAAAAGTTTTTACATAGTGCAGAGTTTGTTGTACACTAGTGTCTGAGATTGACTGTGAGGTTTTAGGTGAATGGTTGAGATTATTCGGATGGCAATGATCGTGAAGTGGTGCTAGCACTACATTCGTAATTTTCTATAAAAAATCATTATTTTTGTCGATTTTTATTGCATGAAGCTTGGTGGAATGCTTAAGAATGTATGTCCTTGAGACGTGAACAATCTGCACCAGAATTGAGCGAACTAGTGTGGTTGAGTTTCAACATATGGGCAGCTTAGAGTTTTTTTAATTTTAATACAACAAACATACTCGCTAGATTTTTCTGGTTTTCTGTAAATTGGCTGCAGTAAAATATAATTTTGTGTTTGATTAGAGGGTGGCATTGGTTATGCTTTCTGTATTCTTGGTTGGCCTACATCTGCTGCATTGTCCAATGCACTGGAGAATCCTTTGGTTAGAGGCTTTTCTCAGGTGGCTGCTGCTGTTGTGGGCGGCTTTGGCAGTATAGGTTGGATTCTCTCAACTTAGAGGCCAGCAGTTTGGCGGAGTGGGTTGGATCTGATTCTTGTGCTGATTTTGATCCCATGGATGATCCCAATGTTTTTTCTCTCCATCATTTTGTCTCATACTGGAGGAAACAATGATTTCTTTATGTTCAGTGTGCTGCTGTGGTTCGTAGCTAGGAAGGGTCGTGGCAAGAATAAGCAATACTTTAATGGGGCTAGAAGCACCAGCTCTTTCTCTTTGCTCCTTTGAGTTTTATGGTTGGCTTTGGTTTTGGCTACTGACGTCTCTCTGTAGCTTTTGGTTGTTAAGACTTCTTCATCCTTAAGACATGTTGGTGTTGGGCATTGTGATCCTCTTAGTCCATTCCAGTTGTGGAGCTTTTGTTCAGCTCCAGCTGTGATTCAGGGATTGTTTTGCTGCTGCACAGTCTGTTTATATTGTACTGAGGCTGTTGGCTCTCCAGTGTATCTCTAACATTGGCTTATTATGTTTTTACTTGGGAATCTTTGAGCAACATGTCTTTTCTGCTCCTTAGAGGTCATTTTCTTTGCTCCTGGTGTGCGATTTTCTTGCTGGGAGTTCTCACTAATTTGAAACTCTCTGTTCTTGCCTTCTTTCTTTACTTCAGGTTGTATTTTTGTTACCTTTGCTGTGTTTTCACTATCTTGGACCTTTTCGTTGGAGTTATGGCTTTTAATTACATCACTTTCTTTACTTCCTGTTTCCTTTGTGCCTCTTAATCTATTAATGAGTATAATGAAATCTCTTTGACTTAAAATAAGTTGTAAAACTGCTGCATCCAGTTTACACTAATCTATCTTTCTGATTCAATTCACTAAAACCATGCAAAATAAGACATCCATTTATTTTTTTCTTCTATTCACATGGTAAATTATTTGTTTCCAACCAAACCTCCCTTAATTTTTTATCATCACATATCACTTTTTCTCAAAATTAAGCAATAGATCGCGAGGATAATACGCGTTATCTTACAACTGTCCCCTGAAACCTCTAGGGATGTTTTGAACAGATGTTACTTTTGGATGACATACAGTTTTAATGTTGGCTATTTTTCTATCTGCAAAAGTGCCATGGTATGTTAGTTGTCACCTTAATCAATGCTATTCTTTATTCTTTTTGTATATATATCTACAACCAGGCTCACAAATATTGCCGATAGTTAGTACATTGTATATTGTATACTCCACCTTTCGGTGCTCTTTGTTTCTGAGGTGTCTTTCAGAAGTTTGATCTTTACTGTACATATATCTATAGCTGTATTTCATTGATTTAGGATGCCACTGCTGTCCAGTAATTCGCCAGGCAAAGACTTGTGGGTGTCCCAATGATGCGTATCCACTCCCATCCTGTTGTTGCCTGGCCAGATCTTCGCAACTCTGCTAGCTGTTCAATCAATAACCCATTTTAGCTCTCACATGATTTCTAAAAGGTAGTAGTAGAGTTCAGGTAATGTGGACAGTTTCTTTTCTAGATTCATTTGTGTTTATATTTAGGTAAATTAAAGCTGTTCATAGTGTATCCTCTTTAATTAGGTCGGATGAACAGATTGCTTTGAATTTTGATTTTTGAGTCATTTGTGAGATATCAATGTTAAGAGTGTTAGGAACTCTTTTTTGTGACCAGTTTTCTTTTCTTTGAGTTTGTTTGGCTGCAATACAAACCACTACACCCCTACCATCTCATTTCCGCTTCAATTTAGTAGAAGAAGCTGAGACTATGTTTAAATTTCTCTTTTTACCACAATGCGAAATTCCTTATAAGTTATTATTTGATCGACTTACCCTTGCATCCTGTAATTCAAAGACCAGTGAATCCTCAGAAAATGGTATTGGGCGTACTGCAGACACCTGCAAATTTTCAGTTTAGGCCTCTTAAATACCTTAATTATTGTTGAAATCTCTAATTGAATATATTTTGCTTCACTGACCTTCTCGTTGCAGTATTTCCTGAAACTATCTGCGTAGTGATCATCCTTCTCATTTGGAGCTTGATTGTCGTCTGGAGCACAACTTTGTTCATTGATTGATCCTACTTTAGTCTCCATTATTGCATCTTCTAGTTGTGGGTAGCCATAGTTTGTCCATTTCCATATTCTCTCATCCAAATGTCTTCTATAAACACAACCATTTGATCCAATAACGAACAACTCGGTGTCACCAAGACATGGGCCTGGCGCTCCTACTAGCTTGACACCTCTATCAGGGGTCCCATGTTCTACCCATTCCCACCCATATGTAGAGCTCCAATGGTACTCTACAAGGCCACCATTCTCTGATATCATGAATATGGATCCACTAAGTGATGTTAATGATGGCCTCATAGCTGTCCCAGGGGATCTTGAGAGCACCAAATGAGGAGACTGGTAGTGTTCATGCCACAATTCTGTGAGTTTGTTGTATTGGTAAAGTCGGCCATTCCTACCCACAACGAATATTATGTTCATCCTAAAGACTTCTTGATCAACTATGAATGCTATCCTGGTATTTGATGGGCTTCGGCAGTCTTTCCACTTGAATTTTCTTAGTGCAACCTGTTAATTGACAAAATTTTAACTGTTGTCTTTAGCTGTGGCTATCGACATGTAAGGGTGAATTGAACAAAAGTATCATTAATCTCCAGATGTTAATTTTACCATAAACTGCAGTAATCGCCCTCTTCTATTTACAAAGAAGAGAGCATCTTCAGATGAAACTCGGCGGGCCTTGCCAGGTATACCATCCCATGGGGGTCCTGTTGCCACCTGTTTTCCTTTCTTCAAAGATGTACAGTTGATCCACGAAAGATCATTTCCAATTCTCTCCCTTATAAGCAAGCTTCCGTACATGTCAACCAAAAACAAGCTTCCATTATAGCTTCCTAATGCGCCATTCATGGCTGTCGAGTGTTCATGCCTCAACCATAGCCAAATATTTTCAGTATACAGGTACTCAAAAGTCTGTCCGCTATCTGATATGAGGAAAAATGATCTATCTGCATGCATCACTCTCATGCGGAAGTTGGTTTTGATAGTCTTTGTTAGAAAATTGTTTTGTTCAACAGTATTGGTGCTTTCATGATTGGGCAAAGATAAATAATGATGATTTGTTGGTGCCTGCATTCTTCTTCCTGGTGCAGTCATGCCTAGCTCTTCTCTTTCATTATCTGCAAGCGCATCATTCATTCCTGCAATGCAGTTTAACAGTCCACGCTCATCGGTGCAATATTCTGCATTCCATCCTTCTGATTCTGGGGTGTCTAACATCGACCATTCATACTTATACGCTCCTTTTCTTCTTATATTAATCTGATGAACAGGACTGACACCTTCACCTCCCATTCCAGATAAATGCAGCTCTGCTAATCTTCCATCATCTAATGGGAATATAATCCTTCCTGGTTGAAGCTGAGCTCCACTGATACCCCTCGCAATTTTTGCATGCTGTGGATGCATGTGATTCACCCACATTCCTTCGATCTGATCTTCCTTGTTTACGCCTATTAATCAGTAGAATTGAGGATCAAATTATTGGTCATGTGGTGTACTCTTATAAGCATAAAAATTGTTTAGATTGAAAGTTTCTGTTGCAACAAAACAGTATAGAATTCCATGATATTACTCTGAATTTTTTTTTACACATTCTAGTTGCTATTCGAATGCTAAAAACCTAAATTATGAGAAGTCATCATATCACAAAATGAGAGTATTTTCTTTATCATACCTGAATACTTCGGAAGCTGGTATTCAAATATGAACCCATCGCTTGTAGTGAAGAAAATTGACAGCAACTTTTCACTAATGTAATGTTGCTGGATCAATGTGATGGCACTTAGCTGATGACCTTGGGGTGCTCCATGGATCATCCATTTCCACTTCCTTTTGTGCAAACGCCTCTCTATTAGAAAGCCATCCTGTAAATCATGAATGTTGCAAATGTGCTTTGATGGCGGTGTCTATTAGTGAGATTATACCATTAATAGATTAATAGTAAGTCCAATTGCTATACTGAGTGCTTAACTTCGTTTTTTGCTGCAAACTGTGTAAATGTTTTGCTTTATTTGTTTTGATAAGACCAACTTGATTAATGTATGATTAATGCTATACTCATCTAAAAACTCAGCACAGAGTCGATACATAAAAAATAAGACCAAATGCATGATATATATGGTGCATTTGAATACATGGTTTTTCCTTTCCTTGATGTATTAACTTGATTTGAATTTTAAAGTAAGCCAATGCAAAGTGCATGAGATCCAGTGTTTTATAGAAGGTATTTTCAAGTTAAAGCACGGTGCTTTTCAGTTTTGAATATTTTTTTTGGCACTGACGAGAAAGAAATTCATCAGACTTTGTGTTATTCAATGCTGGATTTAGTAACAACGTAAATTTTTTCCTTCAATTTTGTAACTCTAAGAAGTTATTTTTTTTTCCCAGGACTTTCTTATCCTAACATGTATTAAACATTTGATCGGTGTGCATTCATAGGAAATACATTATTTACCTTTGTCAGCAGGAAAAGAGAAAGTGAATGAGCTCCAACTAAGCCATGTAAAGTGCAACCAAGAGATGCTGCCAAAGGAACAGCTTCTAAAGACGCTTCACTCCAAATATGCTTTTTCCATGACGGCTTTGTTTTCTTGTCAAATTCATACAGGTCTCCAGTGGAACTACATTAAAGAGCTTAAATTTTTACATTTTTGATCATTTGGGATAATCATACTATCTTTGTAGTTTTGTAAATGAATTTGAAAAAAGCTCATCAATTCTAAACTTAATAAAGACAACACTTGAACCTTCAAATTATAGAAATCCTCACCTAACGGATGTCAAATTGATTGTTTAGGCTAATTGCAATGCAAAAGAAACATCCATTCATGTCATTTTCCAATATGGCGCCTCAACAAAACTTTTTTCATTAGAGAAATTCCTTCCTATAATCTAGATATTGCAAAATAATATTAGGACATTGAACAAAAAAATAGAAAACATAATGTTAGGATTTCAATTCAAAAGTTTCAAACTCAAATAGAAACTATATAGTCAAATGAAAATAAACCTATAGTCATTTAGTAATATATTTCTCTTGTGCATGGGATAACATGCTTCTTCATTAATTAATGACGAAAATCAAAAGCTCAATTTGTTAGAACCAAATTTTCTTAAGCCGGGTAGATTGATGTATAATTCCTATCTTCAATATGCTACAATTTGTTTCTCACTATTCTTCCCTCACAATCTTTGGATTCATATATTCCAATTCTTATGCTATAATCCTGGATTGCTATAGTATTGAGAGATTTCTCCCTATTGCTAATTGCTATAGTTCGCTCTAGTATTCCTGCTTCTGATTCCCACTTTTTCTAGTCAATCGCCATTGGAACCCACTGATCAATGTCACTAGTGTTGCATCTATTTCCTGCCATTTTGCTCTACTGGTTATTTGTTGATGTCTTCTTGCTTTTTTTTTTTTGGGCATATTTTGGAGTAAAAAAGAAATTGGACTTTACACATCTAGAAGTGAGATTTCTCTAAAAGGATCTGGATGGAGTTTATGTTGTTTGTTGTATTGAGTCCTTTAAACATTATAAATAGAACTCCAAGAAATGTAAAAAATTCAATGAACATCCAATATTAAAATAAATTCTAGTTCTCCTCTCTTATGTGTGCATTTGTTAGATGTTTATTCTTTGAGTGTTTTGCAAGAGTGAATGGCTACTTTCGAGGGGAGACTTATTGCACTATCGTTAGGTTTAATTTTTCATTTGCGGTGATTCTATCCTTATTATTATTTTTTAAATTATATAGTTACTGATTATGCATGATGGTTGAAATATTGTCATATCAACTATGTGCCAATTTTTTTGGAAGTGTTACATTGGTATTTGTTAAAATTTTATGGTTGTTATAGCTTTTTTTTTTGTAGAATTTCAGTTTACGTGATTGTTAATTATTTTTTAGAAGGAACAAAAGTTACAAAACATGATTTATGTTTACATTAAAAGTTTTTTTTTTGGCTAAAGTTAATAACATTTAAATTGTGAATTCTTTTTGTATTTCATCATGCATCTCATCCCAAGTTACATTAGAAACCTCAAACCCATAATAATCCCGCATCACAATGCAACTCCTCTTCCAGCAATGACTTGCAGTACATGGCATATTTTTGAAACTTTGCAATTTGAAAACTTAAGGCTTCGTTTGGGATGACTTTCTTACTGCTTCTTAAAGCAGCTTTTATAAAAAAATTTTGTACTAGAAAGTTGCTTTAAGAAGCAGTAAGAAAGCCGTCCCAAACGAAGCCTTAATTTCTTTGATGGTTTCTAGGAAAGCACTTTGTAATAGTAGTTAAGCTGGCTCGAAAGAAGCTGCTATTGCTGCGGACGATGACTATGATGCTGACAATGATGATGGAAATTAAGATGGTGATGGTTACAATATGCCATGTCAAGCATTCATTCATTCTTGATCACATTTAAGGATACTGTTGATTTTTTTTTCCTATTAACTTATTTCGTACTGGTCAAATGTCACTACTAAAGTGCACCTTTAAGGCTTTTTAAAACTAGATATTGACTATCGGTGGTTCCTTCAAGTTTGAAACATTTGTAAGGTAGCATACCTTATTGAGAACACAACACTTGTTTTAAGGATGCCAGTGTCAGCCAGGTAAGAGACGTCTCCACCCGGAGGTCGTCCATGATTTTCCCACCTATCCAATCAGTCGGAAAAAAAACAAAAAAAACTGAGATCCTCCGTTGAACTGAAACATTTATCTTTATGAGCACAAACTTGCTAAGAAATTCACGTACCTCAAAGGTTGAAACTCGCTGATTTCTAGCAATGAGCCATTCATTGTAGTCAAGAACAGTCTCCTGATGCACAAAACAGCAACCTATGCAAGTTAATATTCCAATTGGTTGTTGACTGTGATGAAGGCTTCGTTTGGGACGGCTTTTTTCCTGCATCTTAAAGCAGCTATCAAGTACAAAAATTAAAACTTTTGTACTAAAAAGTTGCTTTAAGAAGCAGGAAAAAAGCCACCCCAAACAAAGCCGAAGTCATAAATATTTCAAGCTTTTTGATGATGAATTCAAAGATCCAAGTTGAGATTAATGCTTTTTTTTTCGTCTACATGTACCAGATTACTCACTCTCCATCATGGGATACTGCACCAGTCTTGATCCTCATGTTTGGGATTGACTCTGTTTCTGTAGCATCGATGCTTGTTTCAAATTTCAGCACAAAGTCGCTCCAAATAGGTTGAGAATTCTCATTCAGTTGCAGCTGAAACACAAATATTAGAGGCTAAATATCTTGGCATATTATGATTCATGATTTAAAATAAATACATGATTAGGGGAAACTCAAAGTTCTAATATCAGTTCTACTATTCTATTAAATCTACTAGTCTTTAAACCTCCAAAGAAATTCTAGTTTCATATTATGCAATTACTTTTATCAGTGCTGTTCTGATTGACTTTTTTTTTTTTGTGGAATCAGTCTTGAAATTCTCAAGTAGTGGAGGATCTAACTGGAGGAAAGATGTTACCTGATAAAGCATCCCGGCTTCTGACAGAGCAAGAATAGTCTGATTGACGATAAAAACGGAAACTGCTGGTCCTGCTGAAGTTGGCAATTCATGGGGAGCAACAACCCACCTTATCCCATTCCATAATCTCTCATATATTGATCCACTTTGCCCTGTCACCCAGATTGAAGCTTCCGACATCCTAGTTATGGACAATCTCTTTCTTATAGGCAAAACCTGATCAAATCTCTCTTCCATCTCCTTATGATCACGCTCTATTATGTTGTTCTTCTCTTGATTTTTTGCTTCTGGAATTTGGCTACTTTTCTTCCCCCAACTCTTGATCGATCCGACTTTGTTGCAGCTTCCATTAGTGCACGACATCAGATCATAAGGCAAACTTATCTCCACCCATCTGTTGGTCTTCTCTTCAAATTCCCAGAATCGGTTTATTTTCTGCTTGAATTCTGTGTTTAAACTTCTGTTTGGTGGAAGGGGGCACCATGACCGGGCAGAAACAACAGAGTTGATAAGCAGGTGAGATGCTAATGCACAGGTGACCCAAAAGTATCTTTCTATGGACGGGATTACCATGCCCTTTTTTCTGCTCCTCATGGGAGCTATCTGATGCGAACCTGGGGAGAAAACTGAGAGGAGTTATCGGCCATTAATCCATGGTGCTGTTCTGTTGGACAGGTACGTAACCTTTCTAGTTTATACCTTCTGGCTATGGCCTGGGGCTACATAGCAGAAAGTTCTGCTAGTTGAGTCCCACCTTCCTTTCCTCATGAAATACGCTTCTCTGGTTTTTGTGGACACTTCGGAGAGAATTATTTTTATGGTGGAATTTATTATTTTTTTTTTTAATTTTTTTATGGTGGAAGATGGGATCTTTTGATTTAAAATCTTGGTGTAGTGGCCTTACCACCTGCCCACAAGTAGCTAGTGCTAATTAATTATTTTCCACGTGGCAGGATGGGCCATATGCTTCAATAAAACTAAAACTTAAGTGAGAGATTGCAAAAATGCTGAAGGCTTAACCAGGATTTAGTCTAAATATTTCTAAACAGTTTTTTGAGCCACATAAATCCTTTTATCCTTTTACTCTCATTTGTCTTACGTTTTAGGATAAATTTTAGATTTAGTAAATTTGGGAGAAGTAGGATTTTAGAGATTTAGGCTTCGTTTCGTTTGGGATGGCTTTCTTATTGCTTTCTAGTACAAAATTTTTAATTTTTGTACTAAAAAGCTGCTTCCGAAAGCAATAAGAAAGCCGTCCCAAACGAAGCCTGATGGCTTTTTTATGCTTCTTGAAGTAACTTTCTAGTTCAAAATTTTTAATTTTTGAACTAGAAAGCAATTTTAAGAAACAATAAGAAAGCCGTCCCAAACGAAGCCTTACTCTTTTCATTTTACATATTCTTCTTCTTCTTCATTTAAATCTCAAATCTTAAAAATATCCCTAAATGATTTACTAGGATACAACCAAATTGAACTTCTATAATGCCAAATAATTTAGAAGAGTAGCCAAATAGACCCTCAGAATAAATTTTTTGTAATATACCTAATTTCATAGAACTTTCATTTGAATCTAGAAAGGGGCGACAGCCTACATCATTAATTCTCAGTGCATATAAGGACAAGCGGATTGGAACATCTAGTTTCCTTCCAAAAGGTTCATTAATGTGTTCTTATTTGTAAGTTTCTCCATCTTTATATAAAAATAATTGGAATTCAATGCCAGTCTCTTAAACTTTTTGTCGATTGCGTGCTGTTTGATGAGCTAACATTTTTGGTTGCAGGAATGGTTATAATGTTATATGGGGAAACATCCCTTTCGAGTGAGCTAAGCTGCCCATATTTTCTAATGGAGAAAGTCTTATCAAAGAATAGGATGGAATTCTTCTTATTTCTGAGGTAAGCAGAAGCTTTACCATTTTATAATGGACTTCTTTGTCACATATTAATCATCTTTATGTCATCGTTTATTATATTATAAGATTGCTTTTCTAATTTAATCAATTTTGCTATGTTCATGATTATAAATTTATGTTTCGTTTGAGACAGTTTTTTGAAGTAATTTTTTTATTACAAAATTTTACGAACTAAATTTTTTTTACAAAAAAAACTGATTTTTAAAAGTCGTTTTAAACAAAATTTTAATTTTTATTCACTATGTATATATGATTATTTTTTAAATTAAAATAATTCATATGAAAATTTTGGTTTTGAAAAAAATTCATCCTCTTAGCAGAAGAATTTTTTTTTCAACTTATGAATAAATAAAATAATTATTTATAAAGTTTAATTATTGCCTAAATATCATAATCTACATTGGTAAATTGTCAAATTTCTACTGGTGAGCCCGGTTCCCCTCAAATCTAGTTTAGTGATCTAGGACATCATTCTTATGGCCGTCCAATTTGCCTCCATTGACTTTTCTCCACGTGGATGTTTTCTGTTGGCAGATGGGATTGGATATGCACCATGACGGGGCCCACCCCGTGGAAGTCTATGCCTTCGGATGGAATCTTCAGCCGCCACGTTGGAAATATGATGAATCTCTTTTCTCTCTCTCTTATCGTTCTTGTGGTTGTCAAGTCGATGCACGGGTGGCCTACTTTCCTAAAAAAAAGTAAACCGCGGTCAGCAGACTCCGGTTAGTTTAACTTCCCTTCCAGGCTTCCACCTAATTTTTTGGAAACAAATTTTTTTTTTTTATATATTGTTAAAGTTTTGTTCAAAATATATTTAAAGGAAAACGAAAAAGGTCGAGGATAGGTTGGATGAATTTTAAAATTTTGAATCTATTTTTAGATTTATCAGTCTTATATTATACTCATTTCATTTCAAGGCAGATTCAATTTTATTTATTTTTTAATGTATTAACATATAAATATTTTTAAAAAAAAATATTTCAGAATATTATGATATAAATTATATTATGACGAATTTAATAATCATTTGATATGCTTTGAGATTTGTTGTGGGCTAGAATATATGCGGCGATAGAGTTAGTAAATTTCCGTCCGAGCGTTGTACGAATATTCAGCACACAAACAGGAAAGGAAAATGAACACTAGGATTTTTACATGGAAAATCCTGAAAATGGGAAAAACCACGGGGCCGTGCTCAGTTGAAAAGTTTCACTAGTGTTGCTTGAGTTACAAGAAACTGATTCGTCTCACAAGTTAGGACGATTAGGTTTACAATGAATTTCTTCTGGATTGAAATTCAGTTACAAAGTTGTACAGAATTCCGGCGTTCTCCCAAATATCTGGCAGAATTCCGACATGTTCGGGCGGCGGGAAGAACTCCGGCGGTGGTCGAGGAGGAGCTGCTTCTCCTTCCCCTTCTCTTCTTCTTCTCTTCTTCTTCTCTTCTTCTTCTCTCCTTCTTCTTGCTTGAGTCCCTTCTTATGAGAAATGAGGGGTCTATTTATAGTTTTTCTGGAGTGACATGGCTTGTAAATAGGTGTGAGATCAGGGGCGAACAGCGAGTGGTTGAATGGACGACTGATATTGAATCCCTTGATCATACACTGTTTGTCAGTCATTTGAAGGCCTTAATGATGTCGAAATCCGGTGATCTTGGGCTCGTTGGATTCGTCTCGTCGAGCCGTTTGATTCGACTATAAGCTCGTTAAAATCGGAGACTGTTTGGTAACTCAAATTGTGATACGAGCTTTCTAACAGCGCTTCGGGTGCTTGATTTTGGCTCATTTGGGCTCGGATTGAGTTGAATTTGGGTCGTTGGGTTCGTATTTTCGAGACGCTCAGTTTGACTATAAGCTCGCTGAAATCGGAGTTCAGATGCTCCCGAATTTAATTTTTGAAGTTTCTGGTTTGGTTTTGCCTCGAGATTTGTGCTTGATCAAGATGATTTTTAGAGGATATATCAAGATTAGTGTTGTATAGGAAGAACTTGTATTGTTATCAAACACATCAAAAATATGATATTTTCTATGACGATATTTAGACCCAATTTTCTTTCACTTCAAAGCCTTTGATTAAACTTTTAAAACGAGTTTAATACATAATTAATTGATATTGCACTCATTTCAAAATAGTTCTAAAAACTTTGAAATTTATATTAATCCTTTTTTATTAGGATATCTTGACAATAAATTTTTTTCTATTTTCTTATCTCTGCCTTATTTGTACTTTTGCAAGCATTAATTAGGATTTTTGAGTGCCCAAAGCTCGTTATTTGCTAAAAAAAATAAAGAGAATCTGGATCTGAGATGACTAAAGTCAAATGGACAGTTGGCCAGAATATTTGAAGTAATGAACTAATAATAGCTGCCAATGACATGACATGGTTGAGAGCTTTGAAAGGAAATTGTGATGCATTTGCTTATTATTTATGAAGAAGTATAATTATTCTATTTGAATTTGGTCCATCTGACACCTCGGAATAACATGGAACTGAGATTTGTGATTCTAGAAAGAGATTTCGACCACTTTAGTTATAATTGACTTTTAACATACACGATGAGGGAAGTAAATATAGCGTGCGGGGATGTATGATATTTTATGTGAAAACCATGCTAAGTTGAACCAAATATAGTGGAGTTGATAGATTGAAATTTTGACTGTTGGGTTGAATAGAATAATTCTGATAAGATGTAGAAATTAAATTTAGATTAGTCCTATTTAAGAGCAATCTAAGGTTTCATTTGGAATAACTTCTTTATCGCTTTCAAAAATAAAATTTTAGTACAAAATTTTCTAATTCAAGTATACTAAAAATTTATTTTAGAAAGCATCAAGAAAGCTATCCCAAATGAAGCCTTACACTTCAAAAAAATTGTGAAGCAGAATAATGTAGAAGTCCCAGTAATTATGGGAAGTTATCAAGTTTAGGGTTAGGCCTCATTTGGAACAGCTTAATTTTTACTTTTCTGCCTCGAAACATGTTAAGAAAGATAGAGGCAGACATAAAAAGATTTGATTAGAAAATATTATGAATGACTTTCTTTATTAGATTTAAACGAGAATTTGAGTTTTAATAGGACACAATGGAGAAAAAGGGTTCATGTAGCTGACCCCACGTAGTGGGATTCATATCTTGATGTTGTTGTTAATATTGTCTCGAAACATAAAGTTATTTTTCAATTGTTGTTTGAACTTGACATTTTGTAAATATAGAATAATAATTTTTTATTGTTTTAAAAGCTTTTTGGTATGCTCTTCTCCGTTACACACCTCCATTATTCTCTCAACCAATATTTTTAAATTTACCTTTTACAAAAGGTACCAGGTAACCAAAGGAAGCCTTACGCTCTTGGAAAATGATGATGATAGATCACCATTATTTGGATAGAATTTAACATACAAATGGCTCACAAATTAGATGTTTGTAGAGTTCATCGAAACTTCGGGAAGTCCATCTCTAAATGGATGAATTGTATGAAATTTGGGATGTTGCATCACAATAACTTAGAGAGAGAGAGAGAGAGAGGACAATGGTGGTGTACTGCTGCCATTTACCTTCGACCGCTTGCTGTGTGAGATGAAGTTGCAAGGAGAAGAAGATAGGGGCCAGTTTTCATTGAGTACTACCTTAAACATTCTCAAAATTTGCTGATTTTATAGTTATTGGAAAATATGTTGTAAGGGGATCGATTTGATTATAAAATTGGGAAATTTAGACATCATCAGATCCCAAAATTAGTTTTTATTTAACTATTTGAGGGCCATGAGAGCTAATTGCACATAAAGTTGTGCTTTATTAATAGAGAATTTTTAAGATCTCAATGGTGGCATATCCATGTGTTATTTTTTTCACAGGAGCCCGCAAATTTATCATAAACTTGAA